TCTGTTACGATTGGACCTTTCTCGTTGACCTAATTCCTGACTCTGCCTTTGGGATCTGAGGTGTACTGTGGGAAGTATTTTACCTGAACCCAGTTTCCCTTTATGCAGAGCTGAAGGGACCAAGGAGGGCTGGGGGAGTGCTGAAAGGAGACCTGAGATGGCTTGCCCCCCCCCCTCTGTCCCCGCTGGGATTTAGGGCACGTTCCCTCTGGACTTTCCCTCTGTGAAACGCGAGGAGAGCCCCCCGCTGCCTGTCTCCCGGGAGAGCAGCGCTTCGACTTGAGATGTGAATGTCCCTTTACAGCATGGAGAGAACCAGAGCTGCGGCTGTCAATCACCGGCCTTTGGTGCCGTCCCAGTCAGGCATCCTGGGGCCCCAGCCCCCTGCCCGCCCCAGCTCCATGCTCCCAGCTCCCTGGAGAGCTGCCCCCGACCCATTCCCTCTCTCTGGCCCCAGAACAGAGCAAGCTGTGTGCAGGGCTGGCACTGCTCCCTCCGGCCTCCCAGAGCAAACACAAGACCAAGCCCCAGGCACAGCCAGGCCCCACAGCCCCCGCTGGATCTAGCTGTAGGGGTGGGCCTTGCACCCTGTACCTCCCGATCTCAGCAGAGACCCAGAACGGTCCCCAGAACACGCTGCCACAGACAAGAGCTCAGAAAGCAGATAATGAAAGCTTCCCGGCCCAGGGAGTCAGCACCTACTGGACCCCGAGAAGTCGGCTGGGACTTGGCAGGGTCTCCTCATAGCTGCCTGGGCCAAGGTAAGGAATTCTGGGGTTCAGGGAAGAACCCACTCTCCCTACCTGAGGCAGGTAGGTAACCCCGGCCCAGACCTGCCCTCCCCCTTCCCAGAAGCTGGGGGCAAGCCCTTGGGAGGGAGCACTGCCTTCCTGCCCTGCCCAACCATCCTGTCCTGAGTCACAGGCTGCACCCAAGGCCTCTTCTTCCAGCCGCCCCTCCCCGAGGGCCGGCAGCCCTGAGTTGAAGGCACGGAGCGGGCTGCAGACATAGGGACACCTAGGCTACAGCGGCTGGAATCAGTGGCCAGGGCGGCTGGGGGAGGGGGTGGCGCGGGGAAAGGGGAGGAGGCAGGGCCTGGGAGGGGCATAACAAAGGGGCACTTTTGGAAACCCGACCTGCCTGCCGAGGTGCCTGCTCCCCGATGACGCACTCCAAACCCGGACCTTCCACACCAAACCTCGGAGCCCAGGGGCTGGCGGGCTCTGCTCTCAACCCTGTGGACGTCGCCCTTCGACCGGCCCCTCTGGCCAGCCGGGTGCTGCACAACTCAGAGCCGTGAAGCCCAAGCGGAGCTGCCAGGCCAGGCCCAGCCATGGAGGTTCCAGGACTTGGCCAAACTTGTTGAACTCGGTCTCGGCGGGGGTGGGGCCGGCCGCTCACTGCTGAGGGCAGGGGGACTCGAGATGGTGGCCCGGGCAGCGGCCCCGGGAACTGGAGCTCTTTGCAGAGGGCAAAAGGGTCGCCGGGGAGCGAAGGCCCTTTCCGGGGCCCCAGGACGATCTGGAGCCCTGAAGAGGCCCCAGGAGACGGTGTGCCCTCCGGTCCCGAAGCCCCCTCCCTCCGGCCGGCCTGGGAGATTTCAGGGTGCGCGCCGCCGCCGCAGATGAACCACCCCCTCGGTTCAGCTGCAACGCTCCGTCCACGCACCGAGCGGGGTGGCCAGGGGCTCGGGGGCGGGAGTCGGTCCCACTGCAAACTTCAGGGGTGGGAGCGAGGGGAAGGCGGGCTCGAGCCGGCGCTCCCGCCGCCACCTTCCCGCGGTCTCCGCGCTGCCGCACTCACCGCGTCCTCCCTGCGCGCTGGGGTGAGTTGGGGTCCGGCCACGCTCCCGCTGGAGTCCTGACGCTCCGGGCCCTGACCGCCGCCTCCCGGAGCGCTCCGGGCCCTCCCCCGGGAAGCCCAGCCCCCGGCCCCGCCCTCTCCTCGCTGCCGCGGCCCCTACCCCACCGTCCGTCCGCAGGCGCGGGGCCGCTGGCATCGCGGCGACCGGCGGCTCCCGGGACGCGGGCCGTGAGTCGCGGCTCCCGCGTGAGAAGTGCCAGGGCCGACTCCCCAGGGTGGCGCCGAGCCGCTGCGGGGCGTCCGGTTTCAGCTTTGCCCCTCCCCGGCTTTTGCAGAGCCTGGGAGACTTGTGGAAGCGGGAAGGGACCGGCGCATGGACACCCTTTGGAGGGAGGTCTGGGGGCTACACTGCCTTACATTTTTTGCAGATCACAGACTTCTTAGAAGTTAGCTCCGACGTAGCTCACCACCATCCCCTTGTGAGCATTCGGATTTCCATTGTGCAGATGCAGAAACTGAGGTCAGATACCTTCGGCGGCTTGCCCGGGATCTGCAGTGGGGCAGGGCCGGGACTCCAACTCCAGCCGGGCCTGCCAATCTGAGGCGCATTCGGAAGCCTGGGACCCACACGCGGTAGGGGTGGGGCAAAAAGGCAAGAGCTCCTCCCCCTCCGCGTTCTTATTCCCACATTTTGTGTCACTCCTGTATTCACTTTTAAGTCCCTTCGCCCCTCCACCGCCTGTGTCGGTCACCAGCCTGGGTGGATTTTTCCAGATCCCCACGATGCCACCCCACCCTAAACAAATCCCTTCTTTCTCGCGCCCGTGTCCCCACCCCGGCATTTTTTCGGAGCCTGCCCTCTGTTATTTATATCCACTGGAGCGGCCCGAGAATGTTCCGAAGCTGACCTAATCGCCACCTGCTCGGCCTCCCCTCCCCTCCCGCTCGCTCCTGCGCTGGTGACCCAGCGGCCGCGTCCTCCCCTGGCAGGCGAGAGGGGGCTCAGGCCGGCGAGGGCGGACGCCCGGGCGCTCCGAGGATCCAGACCGCGCAAATCCGCTCGGGGTTGGAGAGCCGGGTGCCCTCCCAGGAGTGCGCCCTCAGTGGGGGGACGCGGAGCTCTGGGAAGCCCAGGGTCACGTTCTCTCTTCTTACCCACTCGATACACACCGACACCCCCCACCCCGCCATCCCCGACACACACACACACTCACAGAGGAGTGTGAGTACGTGTGCGCGGATTTTTAAACCGTAGCTTTAAAAATAGCGAAATTATGTTTCTAGTAAACCTGGGAGGAATTACTGGCGCGTTCTCTGTGCAGATAAATCCGCTCATAAATTGGAAAGGGCCAGAAGGGAATGAATGAAGGTAATTGCAGGGGGTAGTATGAGCTGCTGCGGGTGGACTTGCTCCGTAGTCCCGGTGAGAGGGCGAAACTGCCTCCCCAAGACCCAGTGAGGCACCCAAGACCATAGGTCTGAGGCCTCAGCCGCTTGGCAAGTGGTGCCTGAGTAGTGGGTCCTTGCCTGCGTTCTCACAAGGGTGTGTGCCCAGCAGGATGAACTTCTGAAACCAGGCTCAGCACCCACTCTCGGCTGCGTCTTGGACAAGTCCCTTTTCTCCGTGTCTGTTTCTACCTCTATAAGGCATGACAGGTGACCGGCTGGCCTCCCAAATGGGCCGTGTGCCCGGCTAATTGCGGATTGTAAAACAACTGCAAATGAGAGGAGCTGGGGTAGTGTCTGATGACAGTCAGGGTGGTTTGTGTTATTTAAAATCTGTTAACATCCCACCTAGTGCCTGAGGGCCTTTAGGCACCTAGACAGAAAGTGTGAAAACACAAGAATGAAATTAATTACAGGAGCCACTTATTAAAACCCCATTAAAAAGCAAGGCTGCAAGCCAGGCCCTGGGGTCTGGGGAAGCCAGGTCACAGAGACTCAGAAAACAGGGCTGTTAATGAGATCACGAGGAGTGGATGCCGGTGTAAAACATCTGGCTTCCCTTGGGTTCAATCTGGAAGCAGAAAGCAGAAATGTCGCAGCTGATCTTAATTGCCCCTAAGGTACCATAGGGAGAAAAAATAAACCCCAACCCAGAGCACACCAAGCTGCTTCAAAGGGGAAAAAGACAGAGCTGCTCTTGAAAGACAACCCCCTGTTAGGGCTGCCCCCAGGGCTCAGATTTCTATGCTCCACAGCCAGAGCCCCTACACACTCACACTGCTCTATCAGTGGAGTGCCCGGCTTGAAGAGACTTCAAGATGAGATGCCCAAGGTCAGAGGGCTGGATAGACAGAGACCTACAGACGTGGTTTGGCTTGAGGCACCAAGTGGCAGGTTGGTCCAGAGCCCAAGTTTGAAACATTCACAGACTCACTCACCTTGAGCATCTGGAATGTCCTAACCCCTGTGCCTTCACCTGTTTGTTTATTTATTTAGCCATTCATTTATCCAACCAAGAAAACATTTGAATTTGTGCTCTATGCTAAGCCCTATGCTAGGGTATTGGGAACACAAAGATAAATAAGGCAGGGCTCTAAGTGCACAATAATGATTCCCTGTGGACATGAAGTACTCTGGGAGAAGAGAGACAGAAGAGACTGCCTTCCATGGGTGGTGACACTTGATGGGTCTTGATGAGCAGGAATTCGTCATGTGGAGAGGCATTCTAGGCGGCAGTGCCAGGGTGTGCCAAGCCCCAGGGGTGTTAGCATATGACCCAGCAATTCCACTTTTCGGTGTCTGTCCTAGACAAACGTGTACAAGTGCATGAAAACATACAAAGATGTTTGCATGTAGTATTGTTTGCAATAAGGGGAAACAGAAGACGAATGTCCATAGGAGTGCCATGGTTAAATAACCTAAAGTTCATTCATGCTTTGGATTACTCTGCAGCACCTAAAATACACGTTATCTAGAGATGTGTTCTTCTATGAAGATCTCCAAGGCACTGTTGAGTGAAAAAAAAAGCAAAGTGCAGCACACACAAAATATTCAGAGAGAATATTCACCAAATTTATTTCTGTGATTATCTCTAGTGAGATGTATAGAATTGGTAAAGGAGACGTTTGTAAGGTTAGAAAATTAACAGTGAGAATGTACTTATGTGTAAATTGTATATTTAAAATAAAGAGTCTTTTAGGAGATGGTGAGTGGGTCTTATTGTCTAAAACAGTGCTGTCCAAATAGAATCTTTAGCAGCAAGGGAAACATTCTATAGCCTCACTGTCCAATGCTGTAGCCATTGAAATGTGATTAGTGTGGTTAAGAAACTGAATTTTAAATTTCATCTAATTTTAATTAACTAAAAATGTAATAGCCACAAAGCTAGTGGCAACTGAATTGTACAGTTCTGGTCTAGAATATTGAGTTTAGGATCTGGTGGAGGCAGATGAGAGATGAGGCTGGTAAGATAGGTTGGGATGGAATGAATGGTGAAGCTTTGCAAGGTGGGCTGAAGAATTTGGACTTTATCCTACAGGCGCAGTGGGCAGTGTGGATGAGAGTGACTAGATAAAGGTAACTCTGGCAGCCCTGCAGAGGGTAGATTAGAGTGGGCAGAGGGCTGAAGGCTGCCGTGTTTCTCTCCGTGGCCTCTGGACATTGCCCCAGCATTCCTGACTGGCAGCTGAATAAAGTATTCTAACTCAACAGCTATGTTTTTAAGATCTCAGGCAACCCCAGAGTTATTGAGAAGGGTTAACCTCAGTGGGGGAGGCTGTTTTTGTGTTGGAACGCAGGAAGAACAGCAGATGGATGACATTAGAGTGAAAATGCATAGCAGGTTTCAGAGTGGGGACTTTAATGAAAGCTTCTCCAGGGTCAGGAATTTGCCTGGAGCAGATTCGTTGGAAATGCCTCTGCAGAGCCCAGGTGTACAGGAGCGTTCTGCTCAGGAAGCCTGCCCTGGCTCGTGTGGGCCTTTCCCTGAAGTCCACAGGGTCCTCCTGAAAGAATTCTAGTGGAAAATCCACTCCGTTGTCTGCCGTTCATGGAACACCCACTATGCCAGATACCATGCCTGGTGCTGGGTCCACAATGCAAACACGGCACACATGGTCCCTGACTTCATGGAGTTTTCCACTAAAATCAAATTAAGGCCCAAATACATAGTTACCCTTTGTAGTAAGTGTTTTAAGGGAAACAGGAACATTCAAAGGACATGGTACTGAGAGAATAAGAAAGGGAGCATTAAGAATATAGGCGCCCTAGCCAGTTTGGCTCAGTGGATAGAGCGTCGGCCTGCAGACTGAAGGGTCCCAGGTTTGATTCCGGTCAAGGGCATGTACCTTGGTTGCAGGCATATCCCCAGTAGGGGGTGTGCAGGAGGCAGCTGATCGATGTTTCTCTCTCATCGATGTTTCTAACTTTCTATCTCTCTCCCTTCCTCCCTGTAAAAAATCAATAAAATATATATTTTTAAAAAAATATAGGAGGATCAGAGAAGACCTTTCCGGAAGTTTAAGCTTCTCTACCCACAGAAGCCCCCAAAACCCAAAAGACAAGTAGAAGTCATCTAGGTGAAGAGGGAACCTAAGAGAGAACATTCTAGTTAGAAGGACTGAGGTGTGCAAAGGCCACGACATGGAGATGACCTTCTAGAGAAGAAGGGTAGAGTGGGTAGGGCATGGTGAATGAGAGGGGGAGGGAAGAGGGACGGGCGGTACCCAGACACCACAGGCATTGTCTTATTCTGAGTGCAGAAATGAAGCAGAAGAGAGACCTCAGTGTGTTTCTGGATGTCATGTGAGGAATAGATTAGAGCAGGGGATCGGCAAACTGTGGCCTGGGCCACCTACAAGCTAAGGATGGGTTTTATATGTTTAAACAGTTGAAAAATATCAAAAGGAGAATAATATTTTGTAACACATGAAGGTTCCAGGAAATTCAAATGTCAGTGTCCCCAAATAAAGTTTTATTGGAACACGGCCTCGCTCATTTGTTTACAAAGTGTCTATGGCTGCTTTTGCACTGTTGAATAGTTACAGCAGAGACTGTATGGCCCGCAAAGCCTAAAATATTTACTATCAGGCCCTTTACTCTCAACTATGCTGATCCCTGGATTAGAGGGAGACAATAGCAGGGAGACCAATGAGGAGGTTGCCACAATCAAAAGTGCAAGAACAAAGTGGCTTTCGCTAGAGTGGTAGCCGTGGGGGTACTCCGTGTAGGGACTGAAGAAGTATGTGGGGAGGTCGGTAGATCTTGCTGATGAGTTAAATGTGGATGCGAAGTGGGGAGAGATATTTCAAAGTGGCTCCCAACCTGAGATCTTGGAGTGGACTCTGGACCACAGTAAGACATTAGTGAGGCAGTTGGCAAAATTTGCACCAAGTTTGTTGATTAGTGTTATTAGCACTAATTTCCTCACTTTGATAATTGTATGATGCTTGTGTAAGATGTTACCTTTGTGGATTTATGGAAGAGTATATTGAAATTCTTTGTAAGCTTTATGCAACTCTTTGTAAGTCTGAGATTATTTCAAAATGAAAAGTTAAAAAAAAATAAATGAAAACAAACAAAGGAAAAATATGACTCCCTGGTTTTTAGCTTGAAGTGCCATTTACTGAGATGGGGGGAATGTGAAAGAGGCAGGAGGAGAAAGGAAGATCAAGACTTCTTTGGCTCAGTGGATAGAGCGTCGGCCTGCGGACTGAAGGGTCCCGGGTTCGATTCCGGTCAAGGGCATGTACCTGGGTTGCGGGCACAATCCCCAGTGGGAGATGTGCAGGAGGCAGCTGATTGATGTTTCTCTCTCATCAATGTTTCTAACTCTCTATCTCTCTCCCTTCCTCTCTGTGAAAAATCAATAAAATATATTTAAAAAAAAAAAAGACTTCACTCTTAGACACATTGGGTTTGAGATACTGAGATGTCCAAATGGTCGTGTCAAGAAGGCAGGGCCAGGTACTATTCTGGACATCATGGATGAGCTCCGAGACCTGGGGGAAGGTGAGGAAACCATGCAACTCAACCTCGGAAAGGCAGCTCTGTGCCTGGGGGGAGGCAGGGCTGGGGTGGCGAAGGGGGAGTGCATGTGTTTGCAGTGTCTGTGGTACACAGGCATTCTGCTCAGCACTTGGTCACTGTAGCCTCTCAACAACCTAGTCCGGTAGGACTTATTCTTCCCAGTTTACAAAGAAGACAACAGGCTCAGGAAGGTGCTAAGATGAGCTCAAACACGCAACTAGGAAGTGGGAATGTGAGGGCTGTCTGACCCCAACACAGTTGCTGAGTTGGTGATGCTGAGCATCCATGGGCATGGGTTTATTAGTTTCCTAGGGTAGGGCTGTCGAAATAAGTGACCACAAACTGGGTGGCGTAAAACAACAGAAATACCTTCTCTTACAGTTCTGGAGGCCAGAAATCCAAAATCAAAGTGTTGGCAGGGCCATACTCCCTCCCCAAGCTCTGGGGGACAGTCTTTCCTTGTCCTCCTAGCTTCTGGTGGCTCCTGACAGTCTGATGACCTTTGGTATCTCCTGGCTTATAGCCATATCACTCCAATCTCCGCCTCTGTCTTCAGGTCATCTTCACGTCAGTCTGTCTCTTTGTATCTGTGTCTCGTCTTCTTCTGTCTCACTCTTATAAGGACACTCAGCCACTGGATGTAGGGCCTACTCTGATAATGGTAGCTCTGTGCCTGTGGGGAGGCAGGACCCAGGGTGGCGAAGGGGGGGTGCATGCGTTTGCAGAGCCTGTGGTACACAGGCATTCTGCTCAGTCCTTGGTCACTTGAGCCTCTCAACAACCCAATCCAGTAGGACTTATTCTTCCCAGTTTACAAAGAAGGCCACAGCCTCCCATCTTAAAATCCTTAACTACATCTGCAAAGAGCCTTTTTCTAAATGAAGTAACATTCACAGGCTCTGGAGATCAGGAGGTAGCTACATCTTTTCAGGGACCGCCATTCAACCCACGTCACTGGACTGGAGAGGGCTACAGCGGTTAGCCTTGGAAAGCTAGTAAAATACTTCCTGAACTTGAAAAGCAGCCTGACTTTCAGAGTTTCTCTCCATCCAGTTTCACAAATGTGTCTCTTTGCAGAATGGATCAGCAGCCTCAACGCTGCCAACACCAATGTGGCTTGGACTTCTAGGTGGCCTATAATTATGACAAAACTCTCAGACTCTGGGGCCTAATGACACAGGGATAGTCAGGCACAAAGGGTAGCACACAGTAACTGTGTCTGGGAGGATGCCCACTCAGAGTTTTGAGTGTTGGGGAGGATGCGTGTAGATTGTACCAAGATACCCGCCCCCTCCCCGAGGCTACTGGCTTCCCCAGTAAGAACCACAGTTACCCTGGCAGCTCACTGCCTTCCTCTACAAGGACAAACTTAGCTAGGGTTCCTTGGGCAAGATTTTTGTCACAGGCTCTTAGAGTTAACATGTCATAGTAGGGACAGGAGCCAAAACAGGGCAGAGAAGAGGGGAGTGGGAAGAGGGGAGTGTGAAGGAATGCAAATGTAGTTCTCCCAGTCCCACTAACACATGACTCACCCACTCGTAGGGAACTGGCTTGGCTGTCACACAGAGGGAACCATTTTTATTTCTGTCGCTTGGGAGTCCTGCAGTCCTGGAACAGCCCTCTGGCATCAGAAGAGTGAGGAGAAGGCACTGCCAGAACTCAAACCCTGGTTTCTGACTCTCTGGTTCCTGATTCTCTGGTCTCTGTTCTTTCCATGATGGTTATCTGACTGGTGAGAACAGCGAAGAGCTTCTTCACTACCTTTATTAGGCCTTATCAGTAAATAACGTATCACAAGGAGATAATATAACTTCTATTTGTGGAACACTTTACAGTTTGCAGAGCACTTGCACGTATAGTATTTCAGCACTCTGGCAGTTGCCCTGAAAATCTGGCTGCCTGGAGAAGTTTCCTGGCACCCTGGACCTACGGTATTCCAGGACAGGATGCTGATTTAGTGTGGAGATGGTGCCTCTTCCCCCACGGTAAAGACAGAAGGCAGGTTTTTTTTGGTAATTACACAGCTGTCTGACACTTCCAAAGCTACCCAAAACTGTATATTTGGGAAATGAATGCTATTCCCAGAGGGTGGGAGCCATGCCCTCTTTTAGCATTATTACAAATTTATTTATATTTGGGCACTTAAATATGTATTGGCGATGCCAAGCTGCAAGGACTCTGAATGCTGTATTCAGTCTGTTTCCAATCCTTTAGGAGGAATTTCAACTTGTTCCCTGCAAGCTCTGCAGAATCCTTGAGGCTGTCATTTGCAAACCGCTGGATGCAGTAACTCTGTGTGGGAAGCCTGCACACACCATCCACATGGACTATAGATGGTTTTGCAGTCTCAGCAGAACGTTTGGATCCACAGACAGCTTGATCAGAATCAGAGTCACCTATCAGCCTGCACCAGGAAAACGGTTCCTACTTGATGGAAATTTCCCGCAGGGAGGCCAGAGTTCAAAGCGGTCACTGGTTTCTGTTGCTTTAACAGCAAGTCACAGGATCACAGATTTTAAAGCTGGAAGAGATCTGAGCCACCTCGCCCCTCTCCTTGATTTTATGATGAGGAAACGCAGGCATAGAAAAGTGAAATAATGAACCCAAGATCCCAGAGTCTAAGAACAATGCTCTTACACCACTGTGTTAAGTCATTTGTTCCAGATAAAACACCTAAGCCACATATTGTTTTGCTGATCAAAGAAACTGGCATTATTTAGGGTCATGCTCATGGTCTGCCCAGCTTCCAGTGTGAACTCGAGACCTTTAGTTGCTATCACCAGCAACTTTTGAATGAGTTGCCTCGTGATGCCTTATGTCAAAGGTTGTGTCACAGACAGGACCAAAACATCTATAAACGGAGTTGCATGGCACAACCTCTCAATGGCATGAAACCAGAGCAATGCTTCACCATTCACTTCATTATCTGATTAGCAGCATTAAAAAAATATGTATGAAATGCTTTTGTCCAGCCTGCACCTGATGGCTCACCAGATGGGAGTGAATGACATCAAGCCTCAATCTAGACCAGCCATGGGCAAACTACGGCCCGCGGGCCGGATCCGGCCCATTTGAAATGAATAAAACTAAAAAAAAAAGACCGTACCCTTTTATGTAATGATGTTTACTTTGAATTTATATTAGTTCACACAAACACTCCATCCATGCTTTTGTTCCGGCCCTCCGGTCCAGTTTAAGAACCCATTGTGGCCCTCGAGTCAAAAAGTTTGCCCACCCCTGGTCTAGACAGTTATTTTCTGGGGTAGCAAAGCAAAACCCAGGGTAAGAAGGCCCCAAAGCACAACCCGAAACAAAGTTCTTTCCTGGCAGGTGAGGAAGGTTTCCACTGGCCACATGTAGTTTGTTTAGGCCACCAGGGAAAACTCCCCAATCCTAAAAACAGACTCTGGGGAAACCTAGCATTAAGCAGGGCATATCCTTTGCTCATGAATCCATGATGGCTAACTATGGCCTCCATGCCTTTCCATTTCTCCCTCCTCTTTCCCCTTCGTCAATCTCTCAAGATTCAGTTTAAGTGTCGCCTTCTCTGGAAGACTTCCTTTGACACTGTCCCTTCTTTATGCCACTCCAAGCTTAAAGTGACTTTTCTCTCTGCCCCCCATCCCACTAGAACCCAAAGCTCCCTCTCTCACTAAGCTTATCACACTCTATGGTGGTTGTGATACAATAGGCAGTCAGACAGGCATGAGCAGAGTAGAAGCGATAGGCCAATTACAGGTCACCAGGGCTGAAAGCCCCCAGGTGCCTAACAACGGACAATTGCATATCATTGATCAAGCGATTTGTCTCCCTGACTGTTCATATCGATGGTCGTGACGTTCGGATCTTCCCTTAACTTTTCCTCCCCTGGCATGTTACTAGTCATGCCATAGGGCCCCTTAGAGGAGGAAGTAGGGGCCCAGAAAACAGGACTCCCATACAAGCCCTTACATG